TCGTCTTCTCTACTACTTTCAGTGCTGCTGTCATTCAACAGGGTGGAATAATATTGCCTCCATAATTTTGGTACGTTTTGGACATCGGTCACTAGGTCCTTCCGTAAGCCGCCTAGCTCTCTCGTAAAATTTTTGGGGCATGGGTTCATCTGACCATATTCTACATAAGAGTTGCTGCATGCACCTCGCCGCAGTATTTGAATAGCTCAGCTGGCAGGCTGTCAGCTCCAGCGCTTTGTTGTTTTTAAGCGCGCTATTGCTATTCGTACATGAAAAACAGCTTCTCATAAAAATACAATCGCCGTTTGGAGTCGGCGTAAAACTGTAGGTCCCTCCGCTTTGTGTGACAACATCAAGGCGCACGCCACAAATCGGAGGAGAAGCTCGGCCAAACACTAACATATGTGTAAGCGCCAATCTATTATTATTATTATTGCTATTCGTACCTCGTCATAGTCAGGTGGTGGAACATCGACTCCGTCCGGGGAGTCGGGTTCGTCTTCTCCATAGCTTTCAGAGCTCTTACCGCTCAGTAGGGTGAAAAAGTGTTCCCTCCATAATTTAAGTATGTTCTGGACATCACTTACTAGGTCGTCATTGTTGTTCTTACAAGGCGAACCCTAGCCTTAAAACCTTCCGTAAGTCGTCTAACTCTCTGGTAAAATTTCCGGACGTTTTTCTTGTCGGCCAGCACCTAAAGCTCTTCGCACTCACGTATTTCGGCCTCTCTCCTTATTGCAGCAGATACGTCTCGATTCCCTCTTCATAGGCGGGATCTTTTTTCTCTGCAGCTTCTTGACACTTTTCATCGTACTAGTTGTCCTTTCGGGCTCAATGAAATCCGAGTACTTCTTCGGCGGAAGTTCTTAATAAGCGGAAAATGTAGTTTCACTGCTTGTGTCTGTCGGTTTGTTGAAGAGTGCTTTCAGAGGGCAGGTGGGTTAAACCAGTCGCGAACAAATTGGCCGTAAGGTGTGATTGCCGTTGAGCTTTCGTTGCATTGTTGCTGCAACAAGATACTGGTCCGAGTCGATGTTTGGCTCTCAGAGTGTACGTACTTCTAAAGCACTGAAAGCATGCCCTCCGTTTATCAAAACCATGTCGATTTGGTTCCTCGTTTTCCTGGTCTGGATACAGCCATGTAGGTTGATGGATATTTTTATGCTGGAACCTGGTACTACATAATACCATGTTTTGGGCCGCGGCGAAGTCGATCAGCCTCAGTCCGTTTTCGGATGTTTCGTCGTGAATTTTCCGACAGTAGCGCCAAATATCTCTTGCCAACCTTGGCATTGAAATCGCCAAGCACGATTTTTATATCACGTCGGGGGGCAGCGCCCATATGTACGCTCCAAGCGCTGATAGAAGAGATCCTTGGACGCCTCGTCCTTCTATTCCGTCAAGGCATGCCCCATCCACGCATTTCTTGCATGGCGATGATGTCAGCCTTTGTCTTCCCAAGGACATCAACCAGCCGTGCCGAGGCACGGGCGGGGCCCAAACCCAGCATGCGAAGTGTTACGTTTTCTCACTTTATCTCGCTCCCAAATTGGTGTTTAGTCGCTACCCAGAGGATACGTGGATGTAAATATCCGGACGTTGTGAGCTGCGATTTGAATCGTGTGCACAAGAATCACTTCTGGCACTTCCAGGTGAATAGCAGTCAAAAGCTTTTCCCACTTATGTGGACTTGCGCACGAAACCTTCTTTCTGTTATGTTAGCAGCCTTAAAAAATGTTCAGGCTGCTTCTCAGCGGTTTTACCTTTACACTTTTATATCATGGTTAATACTGTGTTATTTGTAAAGCATTTCCGCTTTTTATGGAAGAAGATATTTGAATATTTTTGAAGAAAGTGCGCGGCATGTAGACTCGAGTTATAAGATTATAAATTAAATTTTCAGAGGAAAGTCGATAATTTACCAACTTTTTAATACCTTCGAAAATATATTAACGAAGACCCACAATTATAAAATGTAAATAATGCTTCATTGAATTGTTTGAAAATCTCACTTCATAATCTTTTCAAATTAGTTTTATTTTTTAATGAATGAGGCCATAAGAGCTTTGGGAGGTGGTAGGAACACAAAAACACTTTTAAGGCGAAGCACGCCGGGTGTTTGCATTACTTAATATAAATAAAACACATGAACTAATTAAATTTGCTTTTTTTTTAAGTAAACATTAAATGATATTTTTTCATGATTTTCGATGAAAGCTACATGATCTTTCCTCCCTAAAGAAACTTCTGGATCCGCCCAAGCATTCTCAATGCTAAAACCTAAATTTAAAATTTCTTTTTGTTCCCCAAAAGTATGAATAATCAAATTCATTACCACTCAAACACCTATAGCAAATTAATAGTTCAGTTAAATCCAAAGCAAGTATGAGACACATTAAAGTCGATCTGCAAAACATCGTTGAAACGTAATATCGATGTATCGTAAATTTGGCAATGTTAGAAAATTTTAAACATCGATGGCAAACATCAAATTTTGAACTGATATTATCGATGATCCTAATTGTGGGAAAATATACTCCGAATATGTGAGCCAACTATTAAGCAAAAATCATAAAAACTCCCTTTTTTGTAGAGCCGATAAGAAATAGATTTAAAACTAAAAAAACATTTTTTAAATTTCAAAATCTATATATATAATATATAATATGTAATATATAATATATAATGTAAAATATAAAATATATAATATATAATATATAATATATAATATATAATATATAATAT